ATCATGCTGCTCGAATGAAAATGTACTTTTGTCTTCATTTGATTAATAAACTGACGATCTAGCCTGGCTACAGGTACTCAAAAAAAAAAAAAAAATAAAAGTGCTCTATGTTCTCCAAAGAATCTCTGCTAAAAACCTTCTCTTATTAAAAATTAACCCTTCTGAGATATTCTTTTTCTTTCTAACCATCTGAGGAACTTATTCATTTGTAATTTTGATTATTTTCTTGTAATTATCTGAAGTACTTATCACCTACTCAGATTCAGTGTTATGCTCATCACTTCCTTTTTTTCAGTCTTGATTTTGTATCCATCTGTGTCAAGTAATAACTTATGATGGATCCCAGGTTTTTATGTAATCTTTCAGTTATATTATATACCTACCAATATTTCTAGCAACCATGCCTAATCAAAGGAATTTTACTGGTAAGTATCTTCTATTGCCCAAAAAGTTAAATTCCTTAATAATTTTTTTGTCTTGCAATGATAGAAGAGTTTCATGCAGTGTAGAGATCTTTGTTAATTACAATATTATTACATAATGTTTGAATAAATATATTCTCAATCCTAGAGAAAAGTAGTGGCCCCCATTCTTTTGTTTTTTAGTCTTATTGCTTGACCAGAATAAGAAAATAATCTTCTTCATGTACTTTGCCTGACCAGAATAATAAGAAGTTGAAGACTTCAGCTTGAACAAATAACCACCTTTTCATCACTTAGGAAATTTAGTGTCCATCCTAATAGTCTCATGATTTCTTTGCTTCAGTTACATTTTTTTTGGAGAAGTGAAGGATTAATACCAATAGATTCTCTTTATTTCACCAATAATGTTATAAGAATATATGAAGTAACCAGTAGGTAATGAGTGATTCCTAAAGTATTTAGTATATAAAATTTTGCAGATCACTTATGTTTCTTTTTGAGGAACAAAATTCATAGCTCTTTACTTTAATAAGAACAAAAATTAGGAAATACTATAAATCAAAGATTTAGATAATGGAGAACAATTATGAATAATTTTTTATAATTACTAATTTAAAAATTTTAATGTTTTCTAGTGAAAGACATTTGACTTTTGTCCTTGCCTCTTTCTTTAGAGACTCATCTCTATTAGTAGATACTTATTTACATTTAGCTACTAATGTGTTTCATGTTCACCAATCATATTTTGCAATAGATTGTGTTACTTAAAATTTAGGATCAAACTGAGATAGAAAAAATTCATCAGAAAATCAAAAAAATTTTTAAATGACTATAAGAGGAAAGATACAGTGGGTAGATACTTTGAAATATGGTTTGATGTTTACCACCTTATACTGCTAAAACCTCTATAGACATGCTTTAATATGAAAGGTTTTAAGTATTATACTATTAGTTTTTCTTCCTTGCTGAACTTTCTTGCCATTGATAGAGAAGGTGTTTCTTGACTTTTCTAGGTTACAGGAAGCCAAGTTTTTGTTTGAAAATGAATATAAACAAGGGAAAGGGTTTAAAAATATCTCTTGAAGTAAAACTTCAAGTTGATTTAAGAATAATGTTAAGACTTTATTAGCAAAGAAATAAAAATTTCCTTGTAAATATCTTTTTTGTATATGGTCAAGGGATCAGTAGAAAGAATTTATTATTGAGATAGTTTTAAATAAATATTTAGATATTATATAATAAGATATTTTAATTGAAGTTGTTAAACTAATATCCTGCTCTTATAAGCAAGTTCAATAAAACTTTTTCTTCTCGTATAAACTGCATAATAATAAATCTGATATAGAATATATTTTCATTTTAATTTTTCATGCCTTTTTTTTTTAGCATAAATACAGTATATGCTGGGTTAATTAGAATTGAAATTGGATAAACAAGGTGAATCACTTTTCTTAGGTAGTGGTAAACCAGCCTCTTATTGTTTTGTTTTTGGAAGAACTTTATTATATAAATTTTTTGGGTTTCTTAAGTATAAGTATTCTTAATAAATAAACAATAAAGCTCGACTATTTTTCTGAGAAAAAAATTTTTCAAGTAACATTGTTCAAGAATTGAGAGAGCTATTGATCAACCAGATCTTTTTTCTTAAAAAAAACAAATGGTTTTATGCATGTAGTCATCATTTGTTCTTAGGTCGAAAAAACGAAAATGAGTGACATAAAATTTTTTCTTTATTGAGGTGTGTATGTATGCGAGGTATATTATGCAAATTCAATCAAGCCAAAAATGCTATCCTAGAATGTATCCTAGAATGTTGCGTAGATGCTATCGAGTGTATGCTATCAATAATGTACGCAAGGTATATCGCGCAAATGCTATCATGTACATGCCATCAAATATGTATGCGTAAATGATATCGAAAAATAAGGCAATCTTCTGTATATTATTTTAGCTTTGGGGTTACCATATCAAAAATGGATCGCGCCTTTTGGAACACATATCGAAAAATCAGTCTGTACAATATTTCATATTACTATGTTTTAATTTTAGTACACGATTTTTGATTTTATACAATAAATTTATATTTCTTTATCCCGCTTTACTTACTAACCCACTTCCGGCCCGCTTGCTGTCCCTTTATAAGAGGATGATAATATTTTGTTTGAATCAATTTTGTTCGATCATGCTCGATCTTATGTTTCTTCAGTTGAATCTTATAATAATTCTTTCGATATATTACAGTATCTATGAAAATGCAATCATTAATTAACTCTAGTAATATAAATCATTTTTACTTCCAAAATTTACTTCCATCTGATAAAATCGGAGAAATTTAATAATAAAGACTACATTGAAAACCGCGATTAAGATTATGATGAAGGCTATACTACAAAGAAAATTACTGTATAATGAAGGATCATTTGAAAAAGATATAGCAACACTCTTTAGAAATTATCCTCATAAGGAGATTGATTCCAAATATGTATATGGAACTGCCTTTACCGGCAATTACTCAACGGGTATTTTTTTTGCAGATCGATTAGCTAAGCCAATAAAAGATAAAACATAAGTCACCCAAATCTATCACGCTCTCCCATCCGCTACTTTCGCATAACATTTAAATTCCTCTTCGTCTTTTAAGCCCCGCACACTAATCCAATCATGGAAACATCCATCCCTTACGATTCCAAAATGGTTGCTTTGTTGGTTATCGATATGCAGGTGAGTAATAATAAGCACACAGTGAAACTTGGTATAGCGGACATTCAGTATCGAAAGACTAGTAAAAAATCATAGCGTAACGGTTTTATAGTAAAATCCTACTATAGCAGAATTTTCAAGAAATTTTACTAACTGTACCTAGGATTATGTTATATCGAATTTCACTCTGTATTCTGTTCGGGAGTTTGCAATCCTTCTAAATCTTTTCATAATATTCATGGTAGGAATCACTTCGCAACGAGGTTATTGATATTATCCCAAATGTGCAATCAATTGTCAAAACTTGTCACGAAAAAAATATTCCCGTTTTTTGGACCCAACATGGTCACAGAAATCTCAAATTTGATGGTGGCGCAGTGGGACGATGGGTATATAACTTGGTTTCGTTTCTTCGCTTTTATTGAGCACTTGGAATTAACGAATCAATATTTTCTAAGTGGGGAGATGGTAGTATAAAATGGGGTTCTAAGGAATGGGAGATTTTGAGAGAATTACAGCCGCTTATTTTGGTTAGTGCTTAACTTTTTTATTAAAAAAAAAAAAAATCAAGTTGGGTTTAAACTTCCTGGTCTCGGAACTTTAATGCTGATGATATCAATATTTCTATCAGCGATCTTCAACCTCCGTCGATATTCTTGATTTCGTTATCAAAGATAAGACACGCTACGATGCCTTTTATAACACCGAACTAGGTTCTTTACTTGTCTCTCTTGGCATCGAGACGCTCATAATTTCCGGTGCGGAGACAAATTTATGTTGTGAAGCAACTGCGAGAAGTGAGTACGGTGCAAGAAACTTATGAATGTTAACACCCATTGTATTCGAATTAACACCGAGTTTAGTATGATTATTTGCTATCGCTCTACAATATACCGGCCTTAGCATTTGATACATATCATATGCACGGGAGCTGGCATGAGATAGTGCTTCGAGGGAAGGAAAGTTATTATACGACGCGCGATAGTTAGAGAAAATAGGCACAGGAGTGATTGTGAAAATCGATGATTATAATATTGCACAAGATTTTTGCGATAATAAAGAGGAAATTCATTTGATATTCATTCATATCAATATTTACAGGTGGTTTTGACCGAGATTATAATATCGTTTTCCTTAAAGATGCAACTACCACAGAGAACAAGGAGATGCACAAGGTAGAAAATGATTTCTTGTAAATGATCTTTCCTTCTTTTTTTTAAAGTTATTAATAAAAAGTTTTCTTTACGACAAGGCAACCTTGTTGAACTTGGAATACGGAGTGGCAAAAATTGCTACCGTCACCGAGACCATTGAATGGCTTGACAAACGTTAATTTCTCAAAACTTGTGGTGATGAACTGTTATACAGTATGAATTGACTTTTGTATAAATTTAAGAAATGTTTATAATCGCATACCAGGAACGGAGTTCGAAAAATAATTAATTAGCACAGATATTGCATTTAGTAATATACCGTAGATACAGTGTTTGCCTTTCAGCAATCTGATTTTCTTAAACATAATAAATAACAATACATATACAGTATATTTCCAAGTAGATTAATAGCTGTCACCTTTTACATTGTTGTTTCGCAGAAATTATCGGAAAAGCGGAAACGACAACATGGATAGATTTATGAGTTAAAAGCAACCATTAGTTGTAAAAAATACTTGTGTTGGATCCGTACTAAAACTGACCTAATACCATGACGTAATGAGCAAGGATGATTATGTACTTGAACAGAAATAATTACGTAATAATGAAATGGTCCGGAATGATTGTCCTTTGCCTTAATTTAGCATTAAAATACAGTTATTCTTCCGGGACGTAATATATGCTTTGTAAATTTATAGTTAGTTTTCATCGGGTAGTGTGAGGTCGAATTGACGCGTACGGTAACCTGTGAAAAAAAAAAAGAAGGAAAGTGATAATAGGAAATAAAGAAGATTTCATTCAAAAACAATTGTTTACAACATTCACAATTCTGAAACATACTATCGACAATAGGGATCGTTGGTAAACGGCGACTAGTGTAAAAGGCCAATTGATGAACTGGTTGTGACCTCTCTCGTACGGAATCAATTTCATCAGCGGCTTTAAATTGATTCACAATGTCCTCATCTGAACCTTGAAACCAGTTTTGCAGTGCATTTACTATGTACCCTGCAGTAGGACGCTTCGTAGGATCAGAATCCCAACATTGTTGCATTAGTTCCACATAGCAGGATGGCGTCCCTTCAATCGGCCTTGGCCGCAAACCACCACAAATACTAAGCACCAAATCAATATCATGTGGACATTCAGGAAATGGCAATTGAAAGGAAGTGAATTCCCACATAATTATGCCAAAACTATATATATCAGCAGCTTTAGTGTACGGTTGTTCACGTAATACCTCGGGCGCGACATATGGCATCACACCGTTCACCTCAGTAGAAGCTTGTAAAGTTTCGACGTTTCGAGACTGTCCCAAGTCAGCAATGCATGTGATAGAATCAACGAGCACATTGCCGCTATGGAGATCTCTATGTACAAGGTTCGCATCGTGAATATTTTGGAGATCCCGACCAAGTTGCAAAAGCATGTCCAGCCTCTTTGACCAATTAAAATTACCAGATTGATGGCGAAAATAGCGACGTAGATCACCTCTTTTATAATAATCTGTAACAATCATGTACTTACGAGTATTGGGATCTTGTGTAGCTCCATAGCACTCAAAGCCGTTAGGGTTGAACTTCATATATTGATGAAGTGTTTTTAACTAATAATTAATTTGTGATTTATGAGTGATGTCCAAAATTATTTTTTGAATTTTGGATACTATATTGAAAATGAATATTTTTTTTTATGTCATTAACTTGGCATTAAAATTTTCAGGTCAGCATGTAATGTTCAATATAAATCCATAATATCTAATAAACATGAAGCACATTTAAATAAAGATTCGCTTACTTCACTCATGAAGTCGTCAAAATTCCCATGAAGAACTTTCAAAGCGACAAATTCAGTTCCCCAACGCTCCCACTTCTTTTGTTTAGACAGCCACCTCATGATACATCCTCCCTCCCATTTTGATTTATAAACGGTTCCATAGCCGCCTTTTCCGACCTCCTCAACTCCAATAATATTTGCGTAAGGTATCCACTCAAATACTTCTTGCCAGCACCTTGCAGTGAGCTGTGTTTCTCTAAGAAACTTGTCGAGTTCCTCGTTACCGCTCGTCCAATTTGGAAACTCGGCTTCCAAACGTTTGGAATTACAGCTTTGACACCATTTTGAACCCGTCCGTTTTTTATTGCACCTTGTGCAATAGCCAAAATCTTCGTTCATATATATTGTGTCCTTTGGGAAAAGAATTCCTGTCGGATCGCTATTATCAGGTTTTAGGTAAGGAGGTAAAGAAGCAATTGGTTTTGTCATTTATGATTATCATTATCGCGTCCGAGTAATGTTGATCCATTTCTTTATTTGTTTTAATAATTGTTAAACCAGATGACCAAGGTTGTTTAATGCAGACTAATAATTTACAAATTTGTAAATTAGGTAATTTATCACGAGATTTTATAAATTACCAAACCCTTGAAGCGGATGCAGCCATACTTGCAATTAATAAAAAAGATAAAGCCAATATATATCATACATGTATTTTAAAAATCAATATATTGAGAAAAAAAAAAATAATAAAACTTTTATAGTTGCTTGCTTATTTAAATATCCTGAATCACATATTATCAATAGTACCACCTTCCTATCAAAAATGGCTTCAATACTTGAGATAATGTCAGACCGACCTAAAATCTTTCATAATAAACAACAACTTGATATCCGTAGTTGAATTTTCGAATCACGTGTGGAGGTCATTGAATCGCGTGTAAATCAAAAAAAAATTATACCGATTCAGAGGAAAGTTTGATTTGAATTATCAAATTATTATAGGATTGAATCATAATAGAACTGATAAAAAGCAAGTATACAAAAAACATGCAAATAATAATAATAATAGCTTATTAAAAAATATATAATGATAATAGTTAGTAATCTTATAATTTTAAATTAAAGCTAATTGAAAAATATTATTCAAATTAGAAAATATGATTTATTATTAATAGAAGTTTATTTTGCACTATTACTAATTATGATTCATTATTTTGTAATACTGATAGCCAGATTAGGTATTATATCTATCAAGACAATCATAAACAATGAGAAAGAATATATAAAAGTTACACCTTCTCTAAAAAGAAACAAAATAATATTTTTGAATCAACTAATCAATATAACCACACTAACAATAAAAGAATGGAGAGCAGTCCAAATTTTTGCTGATACTTGTAAAGGTTTTATTTCAAGGGTATACATAAATAAGAGCAAAGATTACAGAACAACAAAATCTTTTGAAACAATCATACCAAATCCTAAAATGGACTGAACACAAACTTTAAATGGTAAAAGTGGTTCCTAAAACTAACAAACAGAAAATCAATTAGAAAGGTTTGTTCAAAACAATAGAAACTAATATAAGAAAAGTTAAAATATAAAACAGAAGAATACTTTTTATACCATATCAGCTCACCTACAATTCTATCACAAATAGTACTACTTGTCATCTCCATATATTCAAACAACCAATGATTTTATACATATCTTAAACCTAGTTACTATTGCAACTAAATAGATAAAAAAGTATTAGGAAAAAGAATTTACTTATATTACCAAGAAACTCCAAAGACTGGTAGCTCACAGTACCAATAAATGGATTAAATATTACATATTTATTGGAATCAGAAAAGATTGAAATACAAATAAAGAATTAAAAAGTCAAACTGATTAAATAAACTATATAATCAGAGGAACATATAACTGACCTAATAAAGAGTCTTGGACACAACTATAAAAGAAACACAAAGTAATTTACTTTTTTTACTAATGAATCTTACAAGCAATATATAAAAAGTGAGGATAAACTTGAAATGTATCTTGCATGAATTCAAATTGAAAACAATATAATAATCAATTAATTTTCAGCAGGAATAATATTATGATTACTGTATAGCACGGTCTAAAGTACCCTCCCCTATAAAATACTTCCAATCAAATTACTGAATATAATATAGGATATCTATTTATACATACAATTACCTGCAATAAAAATTATGCGTTACTCTTTGAGTAACAGTATAACAGTAATATATATAGAATAATATAGCATTAATTCTATGTAAGTAGTTTGTTTTAAAAGAATGTAGCGATAGTATTAAAAAACAGTAATAATATTTGAAATATAAATATTTTTAGAAAATAGTTAGTTAAAATTGAAATGGTTATTAAATTACAATAAATAATTATTTCTTTATATAGCATTTAATATAAATAAAAAAAGTAAATAAGCGAACTTGCAGACATAAGTTTATAAAATATAATTATTTTTATTATTATTATTTTTACTATTGTTACAAAAAAAAAAATATATTCAAACTTTTTGAGTATATTCATTAATTAATATGGTTATAATTAGTAATAAAAGTATATTAAAAGCTTGAAAAACAAAAAAATTAAGAAGAAACTGAAATGCTAAAAAAAAATTAACAATTATAATATATTATGAATAAAATGAGATTAGCGTTAAAGAAATATGCAAAAAATTTAATATTCAATCTAAACAATTATAAGAATAGATAAGCAAAAAAAAAAAATTAATTAATACTTCACAAAATCTCACAAATTATATAATAAAAAATTATCCAAATGTTCAAAATTAGAAAAGCTTTTATTTGAATGGATTATTAAGCAATGGAAATTACAAAATTTTATTGCTACAATATTAGTTATTATCAAAGCATTTTTTTTTTCAAAATACTAATTCTCAAGAATTTTTAGATATTTAAACATTTAGATTTTTAAAAAATTGATTTTATAGCTTCTTGGATCATTATAATTTATCAATTCATCACTGAACAACTATTGCGTAACATTTACCTGCAAACTTAATAGGAAAAAAATAAGAATTTCTTAATTATATTTTGAATCAATGAATTCAATATAATTATTCATTATATCCAATTGGTAATATGGATGAAGTTTTCCTCATCTTTGATTTACCAAATTTGACAACAATTGAAAAATGTGGATCACATATAGTTAGAATTCGTACTATGGGAAATGAAAAGAAGAATTTTACTATTATTCTTGGATATATGGCAAATGGAATCAAATTACCACCTGTTTATATCTTCAAACTAAAAAATATATCCAAGGAAATTTTCTGAATGATATATTTATTCACGCAAATGAAAAAGGCTGGGTTAATAAAACTAAAATGCTTTAGTGAATTAGAAATATTTGATCTTATAACAATCCATATTCTTTTTTAATATTTGATTCATTCTGTGCACATTTAGTTGATTCAGTTAAATTTGAATTATATAAAAAAATATAAACATAGCTATAATTCTCAGTGAATTAACTTCAAAATTATAACTATTAGATATTAACATTAACAAAAGTTTTAAAATAAAGGTAAAGTTTATTTATTCTTATTTAATTAATTTATTTTTTACTAATTTATTTTTATTTAAAGATTCGTATATTATATAATCAATGGATGCTAGAAGAAATCCATGAGTTAACTCCTTCCGGACGTATCAAGAAACCTTCATATTCATTACTTGCTGAATGGGTTAAAATTGCATGGGAGTCTCTTGATACAAGCTTAATCAAAAATTCATTTAAATGTTGCAACATATAATAACTTAGATTAATTTTTTTTACTCGTTCATTAATTTTTTTTACCCATTCATTTATATAATAAAAATATTTTTTAACAAATTCTTATTCAAGATAAAATAAATTAAAATAAAATAAAAAATGTTAATATTTTTTTGTTTTTAGAATTATATTCATTCGTTTGTATTCTTGTTTTATACTAACTTAAAGCTAATTTCTATACAATTTAAGCTATTTTACAATTTAAACTATCTTATACAAACTAATAATTCCTTATAATATAATAATCTAAGTTATTTTCTCATTTCTTGAATTAACCTAAAGTATTTTATATAATTAGAGTTAGTTTTACATGTCGAAAGTTAATTTGCATGACTAAAATCTATTTTGCGCAATAAAACTTAACAAACCTCATTTTGTAAATCTCGTATACTTAATAAACTTGTCTATTCTATATGTTTTTAAACTTTATGAACTTTCTATACTTTTTCTTAAAGTTACGGCATGTTAATATGTATTGGTGTATACGCAAAAAAATTTTTCGAAAATAGCCGTTATGAAAAAAAAAAACTTTTTTGCTATAGTATATATACTCAAGTTTGATTGGTTATATACAATATGCGCTATGCATATATTGTAACATTTGATTGGCAATTAAATATATGTACCATTAAAATACTCGTATAAATAACCGGAAACATTCTACAGGGGGGGGGGGGGTACTTTAGACCGCGCTATACGGTAGTTATTAAATAGTCTATAAAAACAGTGCAGCATTTTAAAACACTTTCCGCGATCAAAATATTGACAGAATTACATGTTAGGTGGACGACTTAAGCTAATAATAATCTATAAGATTGGAAACACAACTCGGGAATATTCGTCGGGCTACGATATGTATCTTTCACACATGTAAAGGTGATAATTCACCTACCGTTTGATAACGTACCAACACATGTAAAGTCTCTTTTAAGACAGCTCCGTTTTTATAAAAGTGGTATGGACACAAAAGTACTTCACAACGTACCTTCGATGAACATATTGTACCATTATACCCGATAACTACAAAACTAATTTGCACTATAAGTTTACCTATACGAATGTTTCTCGACGCCAACCTGATCCAATGCCGATATCAAGACAACCAATCATAAATAGATTTCACTTTTGATGTATTCGTAAACACTTACCCAACTTACCCACAAATAAAACAAAAAGAAGATATAGCAAGAAATAGTCAATGTTACCTATTTTTACCTATGATTTCACCTATTTTCTATAACACTAAGAACAGTGAGTTTTGGTCTCGAATCTTGTCCTAAAACTGCCAATGGATTGGCATATGAATAACATAGGTTTGAATGCATACAAACCATTTCTGGAAAACATCCGGTTCGACTTTAACCAATCGAATATAATACAACTTACAACCAGTTGACCGTTTTTACCTAACATCAATAAAATGGCTATCTGCGATCCCTCCTTCTATCTCTTGAATATCTATCATCTCTTCTAGGACTTCGTGAACGGCTCCGACGTCGTCTATAATCACGGTCGTAACCACTACTACCCCCATATCCACCACTACTATGTCTGCCTCCATATTTACCATTACTACCGCTATATCCATATCCTGCGCTTGAGCTCGAGCTAGGTACAACTCCACGGGAGGAAGAATAACTAGAACGATAATCTTTATCATACCCTGAATTGGCCGAAGGATGACCGGCATGAACAGCATAAGCACCTTCTCTACCAGAATACTTCTGATTTTGTTCAGGTCCTCCTATTCGTGTTCCTCCAAGTCCACCACCTTTATTTAAATTAAATAAACGAATATTAAAAAATATATATTAAAAAGATTTTTAATATAAAAAAATTCGGCAAATTTTAAAAAAAAAATTACCAAGGCGACGAGGTCTCCAACCTTTAACAGTTCGACCACGTTCTACGTCAACAAGAATTCGTCGGCCCAAGAGTTTAACTCCATCAGCATCTTTGTACGCAGCTGTTGATCGAATATGCGTTAAATATATGTAAGTTTATTCGAGGATTTCAAAATTTACCTTTCATGTCCTTTTCTCTTTCAAATTCGATAAACGCATAACCTCGGGGTTTTCCACTTTCTTTGTTTTTCACGATCCGTATCTAATTCGAGTTTTTCTTTAGATATTACTGAAACAATTTGCCAAAATAAATAATAACAATACAATTACTCACATTCTCAATCGGACCATACATTTCAAATTCCCGGCGTAAATCTTTATCGGTCATTTCATAACTCTTTAATTATAAAAGATAATTAAAGATAATTAATTAACATTTTACAAAAAAAAAATTAAAATTAAAATTCATACTCTACCATTCTAGCGACAAATAGTGTTTTAAAAGGATCACCAGTCACATTTTCGTCTTTATTTGGATCCCCTATATAATACACGTAATGAATTAAATATTAAAATTGAAAATAGTAGAACCAAAATCTAAATGTTGCTTACACTCTTCAAGGCCTTTTTTTATTGCTTCCTCTGCTCGATGTTTTTTTTCGGCAAGCTTATATGCAAATAAGTTAGCATACATATCCTAAAACCATTTTTTAAGATTATTGCACTCACTTTACGCTTCTTTTTTTCTTCAACTGTTTCGGTTGGTACGTAATTTGGATCATAGTCCTTTAACAACGAAATAAATTGTCCGACTCCGGTGATTGTAGGACCTTTGCGTTTTGCTGGATCTCGATCTAATGGTTTCGAGTATGGTAGCTGAGGTCTTGGCGCGAAGAGTGCTAACAAGTTTGGTGGTAACTTGTCCGTCATGACTGGCAAAGTCGATGTATAAAGTTATTGTCACACTTATCGATTGGTCAAACGTACATTATAATATATAGAGTATTTGTTATTGGTCAGTAAATGTAGTCCGCTAAAAATAATCAATATTAAATCAGGTTAAAATAATATACTGTAACATTTATTATATTAATAGATTAATAGATTTTTTTTTTCAATAATCTATTAACTAATTTAAAAAAATTTGTTTATATATGACTATTTAACTTATTTTTTTTTTTTTTTTTTAACCCACAATCATATTGAAATGGCTTGTCTTTATTAAGATACTTGCAGATCTTTTCATGTAATGATTAACTCATCTTTTTTTTTTTAACCTGCAATCTAATGATGGGTTCCTAAAGTATTTAGCATATAAAATTTCGCAGATCACTTATGTCCCTTTTTGAGGAACATAATTCATAGCTCTTCACTTTAATAGGGACAAAAGTCAGGAAATGCTATAAATTAATGATTTAGATAATGGAGAACAATTGTGAGTAGTTTTTTTATGGTTATTAATTTAAAAATTTTAATTTTTCCTAATGAGAGACATTTGACTTATATCCCTGCCTCCCCCTTTAGGGACTGCAATCATGTCAAAATGGCTTGTCTTTATTAAGATACTTGAAAAAATATCAAAATAATCTGTAAACTTTTCCTTAACTCATTTTTGTATATTATTAATTAAAGAATTATACTACTTAAAAAATATAAGGAATTTACTAAACTAGTTCAAACTAAACAAAACTAAGTCTCAACTAAATATTCTAAATCAGATTTAGGGAACAATATTATACTTTCCTAGTAGCTTGACATAGTATCTTTAAGTCAACCAGGGTTATTGCCAACAGTTTATTATCATTGATTATCCTAAAAAACGATAAATTGCTAAAGTTGAACTGAGGAAAGAAAAAAAGAAAAACAATTCAAAGCTCTTCAAAAAATTCTTTTCTATTTCACAACCTCTTCTTAAAAGGGTTTTGTCTGATTGAAATATTCTTCTTTGCTTTATTTAGATCTCGGAGGAAGTCTTCTTTGTCATCACCTATAGTATCAAATAAGTCTTCTTTTAAACATGTATAAAATTAGAATAGTCTAAAAGAAATTAAAAGACCTTAGCTTCCACCTTAGAAAACCTTTTCACCACTTAAGAAACTTTGAAAAGAAATAGAATTTCTTTGTGTAGATCTACTCCACCTTTTGGTATCATAACTATTTCCTGAAGTTGAATATACTTAGTTGGAGAAGAACTTCTTCTAGAACTTTATTTTCTATATTACTCATGATATAATAGAAACAAGTGAGTATGACCAATAGCAGCTTATTTACTTTTCTTAAAACCAACATATTTTGGGTTAGCTAATTATCTTTGGTGAGAATTTGTGCTACTCAAAATTCAGAGTCAAATTGAGGTAGGTAAAATTCTCCAGAAAACCATAAAAGTGATAGCTCTAAGAGGCTCAACAATAACTGGAAGGGGAAAAATAAGCCCATCTGTTCTCAAAAACCTCTATATACCTCTTACTTCAAAGGTGAAGAAGGCCTTTATATACTTTACTATTGATTCCTTTTTCTTTGAAAACTTTCTTATCATTGGTATCAAGATGTTACTTGACTTGTTCTTGATCACCAAAAATCAAGTTTTTAATCAAAAAGAATATAAACAAGTAAAGGAGAGATAGAGATAACTCTTGAAATAATTCTTTAAGGTGTTTTAAGGAAATTATTAAAGATTTTATTAGTAAAGAAACAAAAAACTTCTTGCGAGTATCTTTTTTGTGTATAGTCAGAGGATCAGCAAAAAGAGTTTTTTAATGATTAACCCATCTTTATACATTATTAGTTAAAGAATTACACTACTTAAAAAATATGAGATGTTCATTAAGCTAATTTGAACTAAACAAAACTAAGTCTCAACTAGATACTCTAAGTTAAATTTAAGTGACAATATTATGCTTTTCTAGTAACTTGACATAATGTCTTTAAATTAACCAAAGTCATTATCAACAGTTTATCACTATTGATTATTTCAAAAAATTATGAATTGCTGAAGTTGGAACTGAAAAAGGGGAAAAATGAAAAATAATTCAAAACCCTTTAAAAGATTCTTTCTTTATTTCACAGACTCTTCTCAAAAAGAGTCTTGCCTGATTAAAATATTCTTTTTTGCTATATTTGGATCTCGAAAAGAGTCTTCTTTGTTATTACCTATAATATTAGATGAGTTTTCATTTAAGCATATATCAGATTAGAATAGTCTAAGAGTAACTAAAAGACCTCAGCTTCTATCTCAAAAAGCTTTTTTATTATTTGAGGAATTTAGAGAAGTGATATAATTTTTTTGTATAAATCTATCCCATCTTTTGATGTTATAACTATTTTTTGAAGTTGAATATATATAGTTGGAAGGAAACTTCTTCTAGAACTTTTTTTCTTATATTATCTATGATATAATAGAAATATGTGATTATAATCAATAGGAGCTTGTATACTTTTCCTAAAACCAATGTGTTTTGTGTCAGCCAATCATCTTTGGTAAGAATTTGTACTATCCAAAATTCAGGATCAAATTGAGATAGAAAAATTCCCCAGAAAATCATAAAAGTAATAGCTCTAAGAGGTTTACAAGTAACTGGAAGGGGAAAAATAAATCCTTCTATCATTAAAAATCTCTATATATCTCTCACTTCAAAAGTGTTACTTGGCTTATTCTTGATCATCAAAAGTCAAGTTTTTGATCAAAGAGGATTGTAAACAAGTAAAAAAAAGATAGAGGTAACTCTTGAATTCACTCTTCAAGGAGTTTTAAAAAAAGTGTTTAAGACTTTTTAATAAAGAAACAAAAAAATTTCTTGCGAATATCTTTTTTGTGTGTAGTCAGAGGATTAATGGAAAAAGTTTTTTTTTTAGATTTTAAGTATAACTTTAAAAGTAATTTGTTATTTTATTAATAATTTAAGTAAAATTTTTTGATTACTAATATTATTAATTAATTAATTTTTTTTTTTTTGAAATGGTGACTTAGCCTTGTTTTATTAAAGTTTCAAGACGTGCCAAATGAATGCATATACAAAAAATAATTACTAATAAAACACTCCTAGAATTGTCTGTGAGTGGTTAAGAATTTTATGCTATTACTATCACTTTGATTCCATAAGCTGGTTAATCTTCGAGGGCTTCATCAGTCAAGGGCATATTGCCTGTTCCTTGGCTATTTTCAATATCTTCATGTTGTAAAATTCTGGCCGCTACAATCCATGAGATAGCTTGTTGTCAGGAAGAATAACTTGGATCAATCTAATTCGTGCACTGGGAAAGAAGATTTGTTGATCCTTCTAGATTCCCCTGACGAACATGCTCAGGTGAGACACGTCATTCCAAAGAAAATTTTTAAAAGAGGAGGTTGTATTCAAAGAATGTATCGGTATATAGTGAAAGGATGGGAGTATCCAAACCCTCCAAAAAGATACTGTCCCAGGTGTTGATCTGTTTGTTGAAGAGGAAGAGAAGGGAGAGGTCTTTACTGGCTATCTGATGAATTCTATTTCAACAGTTCTCTTTCCAAAATACTACTAATTTAGGAGTTTTGCTTGTCCTGTATTCACCCGCACCCCAGATGTGACTTATGATGGACCCCAGGTTCTTATAGAGCTGAGAAAATGCATTCAGATATGTGATGTAACCAATGGGAGCTTGTTTACTTATTTTACTAATGTGATCTCTATCTGTCCAATCATGGTGTGAGAAACTTTGTGCTACTCAAAATTCAGGGTCAAACTATGATAGACAAAATTCTCTAGAAAAAACCCTGAATGAGCACTATAAGAAGCCAAACAGATGACAAGAGAGTGGGAAAGTTGTCTCTCATCATCACAAAACTTCTGTATTGTTTCTCTACAGTGTGAGATGATGGCACATTAGTTCTTCTTCCTTTCAAAACTTTCTTGCCCTTGGTAGGAAAGGTGTTTTTTGACTTTCAAGTCACTAGCATCAGGAAATTTTTTAGATAAAGATCTCCAGAGATCTTCAGGCGTAAATCTCCGGAGGACTTCCGGCATCATTAGAAGTCTCCGGAGTAAAAGTTATATATATACTGTAATTCCAGAGATAATCAAAAAAATTTTCAAAAATTTCCAGAGATTATATTAAAAAATTTTTATATAATCTCCAGAGATCATCGAAAATTTTAAATATGATAAAATACGTATACATTAAATTATATATAAAATTATTAAAAATTTTATTCAAATAATTATTTAAATTTAAAGATTATTTATTAAATTTATT